TTTTTTTTTGGTTTTTCTCCGGTACCAGGAACCGAACTCACGACCTTGCGCTTGCCAGGCAGGCGCTTTTGCCGCTGAGCTAAATCCCCAGCCACTGCCAGGCTATGAATTTTTTTAAAAATTCCCTCAAAGAGAACATGAGCATCCAAAACATCAGTATGGGGAGCTCAGCAGACTTTTGCACCAGCAAAACCAGCAAAAGATTATTTTTAAAACAACAATTCAAGCCCCTAAGAAAAAACACTTAAGATAATCTTCTGAATTTTGGTTTTAAAAAAAAGTGTGACACTTGAGCCATGACCTTTTTCTTCTATCCCCAAGCCAGCTCAGTGTGACAGAAGCCCTCGATGGGGTAGATACAACTAAAACCACAAGGCTCTCACTCTTCCAAGGGCCCAGTGGAAGAGACGGGGTGCTGTTATTTCACCTTCTCCTTAGCAGCATGATACAGAGGTTAACATCCCCGCAGCCGTGACCATGACATTCCCAGCTCATCCACAAGGCAGAGTCCCCATGCCAAGAAAGGAGGAGAGAGCCAAGGAGGCAGCCAGGCCCCACTGCTCCCGTCCAGCACCTTCATCATGAAGCTGTCACTCTATGAGAAACAGAGCATTGAGCCCACCCACAGATCTAAAGCAGGAACACAGTGATTATCACAGAGGAAAAGCAAGGATCTAAGAGATCTATGAAGCTCTCCAAAACAGCTCAGCTTACTTGGAACAGGGTATAGGGAAATGCAAGCCTAAAGGCATTCATTTCAAGGGTAGCTTACATGGTAACCAATTAAGAGGGAAGTGGTATCTACATGAAAGTAAAAAAGCTGGACCATGGGTCATCTAGTTCACCAGAGAAGACAAAGGAAAAATACAGCCAACAAGAGCACTTCTAGTGTCACAGCCAGTCTCAAATACTGGCCTCAAAAACCAACCCGACAAACAGGCCACAGTTTAACTGGATGACATTTACAGTGATCATGCCCCGGGCGTCATCAAAAATGTATACAAAGTTGAGCAATTAGCAGGCAATGAAAGGAGTTTAACAGTGAGGCCTGGTACTAACAGAGCCAGCTAGCGTAAGAGGTCAGAGCAAGAGCCCTGCTAAAACCACTGTCATTCCAATGTGGCTATGTAGGCACCCGAGTCCCCACCCTCTGAAAAGCAACAGGTAATTTTCTGTGTAAAAGAAAAGCATTCAACTAAAATATACTAGCCAAAGTATAAACAAATAAGCAAGCAATTATAAGTGTTTAGGAGTTATAGAATCAGTATCTGGAAATCAAAAATATTTTTTTCTAAAACATCACATTTAAAAAAAATTGCTTCTAAAGAGGAAAGTATGGCCGCTATGTGGGGGAAGGGAGGCGCTGTGGAAGCAAGCGACAGACACTGCCTGTGTGAAGGGCAACACCTCAAATTTAGCAGCTCAAGACTTCACATCAGCTATTATGAGCATTTTCAAAGAACTAAAGAACATCACCCTTGACATAAAGAAAAGTATGATAACAATATCAATACTGATCTCACTATTACAATTTTAAAACAGTAAAATGTTTAGGGCTGAGAATTTCAGACAACTTTGATCCCTAAGCACTGTAGAAAAGTTCAATAAAGCCTTGAACTAGAAAGGAATCAATGAATTGTATCTGAGTCACTCTTTCCTCACTTGACAGACACTCCACACCCTCAATTTAAGGTTTAGTTTGATTCATAGTTTTTGGAAGACTCAGTCCCTCATCAGCTAACTGCAAGGCAGGAAGGACACGGGAAGGATTGGCAAAGGAGAGCTGTACAACACACGGAAGGCAGGAAGCAGCAAGAGGAAAGAGAAGCTAGGGAGAGGGCTACACCTCTCCAGGTCACGGCCCTGGTGACCTGCCTCTTCCATGCAGACCCTACCTCCGCACAGCACATTCGCCCTGGACTCTCCAGGGGATTATCCACTGAGGAGTACAGCATCCCTGTGACCAGTACACCTCCCCAAAGCCAAGATTTGAGCCTTCTGGGAGACAGTGGAGATCTAAACCACGGTAAACTGAAAGTTACATCAATACAGATCACGCAGCCCAAGGAGCAGAGTACAAAGGGAAAAGTGAGCAGAGCCCAGAGAACACCGGGTATCACTGAGCACGCCACAGCTGTATTGGAAGCCCCAGAAGAAAAGGGGAGAGGGAAAGCGCAATAATTAATATTGAGTGAAAATTTCCCAAGAAGTCATGGAAAATTCTGCACTTCAAGAAGCACAGTAAACTCCAAGTAAAATCAACACAAAGAAATGCGTACCCGGGTACGTTTAGTAAAATGGTGAAAGAAGCCAAAGGCAAAGGAAACTCATTTCTTTTATTGCTTTCAAGATTTTATCACTAACAGATGACTGATAAGATTAACAAGTGACTTCCCATCAGAAACACTGAAAGCACTGCATGACAGTCTTTTTTTTTATTTTAGCAGCGAATGTTATAGATTTTAATATCATCAAAACTAAAACCTCAGAAATTCATAGAAAATGAACAAAATGCTTTGCTAGAAAATTTACCTTATAGGAAATCATAAACTGTTCTTCAAACTAAAAAAAATTAACTCCAAATGGCAATGCTCAGGTGCATAAAAAAAACAAAGCACACCAGTAAAGGTAATATGCAATTTTACAAGACAGAATTAGGTAATACTGTATAAGAAGGGAGAAATAAGCATTTAAAAAGAGCAACTGAATTAAACAATATATAGTTAAATGATCTGCCTATGATGCACTGAAAGGTGACATATTTAACAAAAAAAAAAAAAGCACAAAAGAAATAGAGAAAAAGACTGGTTATTGCCTTCATATTAGTTAATCCAAGTACAGATATAGGCATAATATCTTGTCTAAACAATATTAGAACAAAGCATGCTTTTCAAG